TCTTGTCCTTCTGGCGTGTCAACCGCACCACTCAGCTTGGTAGCTAACTCTGGTTTACTTTGTTTCCCCATTTTTCTTCCCACTCCCCTACTATGTAAGGTTTTTCTCCCCCTTTGCCTAGTATTTACTTTGTATATATACTTTTGCCATCTTTTCCAGTATTCCTCCTCTCTTCCTTATAGTTTTCCAACTCCCAAATTCCACCCTTGGGAATATCCATTACTCTGTCCTCTCCTTCCTTTTTCCCATGCCCAGTTTCTTCCTACTCTGTCTTTGACTTCTCTTTTTTTCAGATGTGCCTGCTAATTTGTCCAATGCTTCTTGCAGTCCACACTGGTCCTGCCTTCACTCCCTCCTCCAGGATTCACCAGTCACTGCTTATATTCACAAAGGTAACTTAACCCCTCTCTCACACTTAGACAACTGCCTTAGTATGTCCTGCATCCACACAGGTGAGTCTTCAACTTGCTTCAGACCTGACTTCCAGAACTTAAGATCTGGAAACCCGGGGAAAACACTCAAGAGCACTGTCATAGCACATGGCATACTGTCCCACAGGACCGGTAGAGAAGCAAGGACCTAAGTGTCAAGAAGGGGATTTTCCTAGCTGTGCTAACTACAAAGCACTGCTAAGGCTGGCAGGCAGAGGGAATGGTGGATATGTGCTCGCCTGCAGACACACACCAACCTGTGCAGCCTGAGATGAGGGAGCCAGCAAGCTGCTGCTGAATAGCCAGACTGAGGACGTGATGTCTGTGGGTGGGAGTGTTACATCCCCAGACGATAAGGCGTGTTTGCCAGTGGCTTGAGACAAGACTTGATTTTGGCAGCCAGCCTCGCAAGGTGTACAGGGTAAGATTCTGCCGTGCAACAGTGACTCATTTCTTCTTTCCAACAGGGTAATAGTGTTACCTTACCAGAGTGGTACAGTATCATCTGGCATTTCAGTTAAGAACTATGATAAATGTGGTTTTTCTCTTCAGTGCCCTTTACTCACACATAGGCTATTAATGACTTTATCTTCCAAATCTATTATCTCACAGCTTAGACAACCGGTGTAAACCCCTTCAGCATTCTAGAGGTGACAGCACAATCCCTAATAAAGCAACACAAAAAGTCCAAAACAACCCCCCAAAAGCAACAAAGCAAGAAATCTGGCACAGGAGGACCTAAACACCAGCTATTCAAAACATACCTTTTGGCTATACTTGTATCTAGTGTCACGAGCAAACAAATCTCAAAAGAAAACAGGCTGGTTGGGTATTAACCATCCCTGGTTCAGTCATCTGGCAGAAAAAAGCCTTGTTCAGGGAATCCCTTAAGGAGGAAGAAAGACAAGCTAATGCCAAAGATTTTTATTTCCTTGCACCTTCTATTAGCCCAGTGTAGAGAGTTGTACACTGTGCCCATTATCAAGGTGCAGCAATGAAGTTGCCTGTCAATGAATGGCAACAAACAAGAACTAAGATAACTTTTACCTTCTTATACTGCTCATGATCCTCCGTTCATCTGGAACTAATGTGTGAAAATATGACTAACTTGGCCTTTAAGTCACTGTACTTTATTTTTTCCTGTTCAGTGTAAAAATGGTGCTAGACAACGTTAGGAAGGATCAACAAATAGCCTTGAAAAATCTGATTGTCAGACTATTTTGGTGTTCTTTGTCATATACTCTGAGATTTCGCCCCACAGTTATACACCATACTACTTAGATTCATTGGTATGCATGCAGTGCTAAGAAGCCATATTTATTCTCAGTGCCAAAAGTAAATACTGAAATCAGTGACACTGTTGATTATTTAGGGGGGGAAAAAAAAGGAACAAAGATAATGAAATGTAGTTAAAACAGCCCAAACGAAACCATTCCATTTTAAAATTCTGAATTTATTTTGACAAATTTGCAATAAGCGTTATCAATCATGTGAATAAGAATTCGAAAGGATCAAGGTTTTCTTAGCTGTGTATTTTCTTACTACTTTTATATTCCTTTTATGTCTAAAAAATAGATTTTATTCCTGTTCCCTCACTAGTATGCAAATTTCTACTAGAATCAAGTAACACATGTAACAGGACAAAAAAAAGAATCGCTGAAGCAGGGTAGGGTTCTTTTTTTTGGTGTGGGGTTTTTTTTTCTGCAAGTAAAGCCATTCTTCACAATTGCTCAGAAAACAAGAGAAAGTCCATTAGAATCTTCAGACTCTTAACAAAGGCTCTTGGCTAATGTTACTGGTCTAAAAAGGAGATAAGCCATATAATTTTACAGGAAGCAACCCACTGAATCCTTCAGCAAACACAGCTTGGCAATCTATCTTCAATTCAAAATAATGAGGTGGCAGGAGTGCGATGGAGAAATAAGTCTTCAAAAACATCACGTAAGGGAATCCAGCTGTGCTTGTATAGTTTCCAGCTATTTAAAGGAACAAAAAAAGAGAGAAAAAACTCCACTCACATAAAATGTTGTTTAGAAACATGCAAACAGAAAAAAACCCACATTCCAGTATCTTCAACTATGCATACTAAATCTATTCACATAGCAGTAAAAAAATCCTGTACTCATGAATATTTGTTTTTACATGAAGCTATTAGAATTCATTGCTGCAGTTTAAATATTCAAATTTTAAAGAAACCGTTGTCTAAATACTGCCTTTTTTACATGCACAGATGTTTTGCTGTGAATTTCCAATGCATAATAACAAGGTAAAAAAATAATAGAGTTCATTTTGACTGGATTATGAGCCTGGCATTTCGACTGAAGATATAACACAAAGATGCTCTTTCCAGAGAGCTCCTCATTGTTAATCATCAGCTACTCCTCTCAATCTAGCCGCCAGGTATGCTTACAATGACCCAAGCCCTGCTTTGAATCCACAGACTCTTTTTGAAAATGCTTTATGTGATCAAACAAATCCAACAACCTTAATTAAAGTTGGATCCATTTTCCTTCCAGTTTCATTAGATTTAATTCATATAGGCAACACTTATAAGGTGTTTACAAAGAAACTATAGTATTGTAAAATCTACAGACCTTGTTATAGAACTCAAACAGCTCCTGATGACTAAATTCTACAAACACTTTCTTCAGGTTCTGTGAAGGAAAAACGAAAAAAAGGAAGGAATAAGCACACTTTTTTTTTTTTTTGTTTTGTTTTGGTATTCATTCCGATAATTCAGAATTTGAGATTAAGCCACGTGAAAGGTAATTGTTGCAACAGTTAGTTTTCCTTCCATTCACTACAATGTCTCCCATATATGCATATTCCATTTCAGCGAAGATTTCAAGTCTGCAGGTACATCTATCCTCCTACTGCGAAGACGAATAATAAAACATTCTATGAAAATTATTTTGTTACCTTATTTTTAAGTCAGATAAAAATGCACGATTACATTTGTCTTTCTCAGCAGTCCATCTAAGATCTGGTAAATGCCATTACACAATGACAAAGTCAGTAGTGTATTTGATTGAATTTGCACAGCTATTAATGTACTGCACCAGCACAGAGCTAATACTTCCATTCATTAATCTAACAGTTATGATCTTAGCATGCTGACACTGCTATAGGCATCTATGCACAGATTCAGCCTAAGTTAACAACACAACAGCTTCAAAGCAGTGCTTAAACACTAAAAAAGCAAATAACACAACTGATGGAAACTATGTGGAGAATACAGTAATAATCTTCTGCATACATGTGTTGATGTCTGTGGAGATGGGGGTTAAATTAAAATTTCTGTCCTGCTTAACTCACTTGCAAGAAACAGGTAGTTTAATGCCTGCTACTTTCAATAATAGTGTAGATCTATCCAGACTGTTTCTAGCCTTTTTCCTTCTACTTTGCTTTGTCACTTCTTTTAAAATAAATTCCAACTATTGCTGCACATTCTCTCTGTTGTTGCTAGACTTTCCAAGGCTTGGAGGCATTCCTGAGGATAACATCTGCACTTCCATAAACACTAACAAGGCTCTGGGAAAACTGACTCTGTGGACACCTCTACTCACAAATTATTACCAGCTGAAATGACGTACACACGCTAATTTTTTCTAACTGGGATCAACTTCATGTACCACTTAAATCTGTAGAAAAATGCTTATTTATCAATTCAGCTTAAATGAGCAAGGATACTTTCGCATACAGACAAGGCTGTGGGTCAGATTATGTGCACTCTCATACCCATGCAAGTCTCGATTTAAGTAAAATAATGCTGCTGAATTTGGCGCACCAAATGCGGAAGAGCAGCAGAAGCCCTGGGAACTCAGGATAGGTACTGCCTGGTGCCTGCTCCTCAAAAGGAGCTGTAAGACACAGGAAAGGGACAAAATGACTGGGGCCAGCCTGTCTGGTGCAATTCCTCCTCCCTGCTCTGCAGAAAGAAGGATCCTTTCCAACAATTTCAGGAAGGCTACAAAAGCCTAGAAAAGGACCAGTGATTTGCATGAGAGACCAATCTTCCCCCTCTGGGAAGGAACAATGCAATTCTGGGAATTGTATGGTGAATACAAAATAAAACTACCAGGACAGCAGTTCTCTTTGCCATGACTCCAGCTGATCCTCCCTCCAAAGAGCATAATGCTGTGACAGGGAAGTAAAAGCATTTTTAAAGGCTTTCTAACAGCTAAGAAACAAAGAGAAAGCAAACAAGTGGTTTCTTCAGAAAAGAAAGGGGGTAGAGGAAAGAAGAAAGATACACTAATAGCAAATGGATCTACCATTTCAGCCTGGATGTTTGTTTGGCATTTGCTGTTCCAGAAGGATTTTGGTGTTTGAATAGAAGAGAAACTGAAAAGAGGAGGCTCAGAATAAAAGGAAGATATATGATATCTTAAAAGTTTATCAGTCACAATGAATGGTCAGGGTCATCTCTTGCATGGTTTCTGCCAGAAGAGTCTGCTGGATTTCACTATGACAGTTTTGCAACGCCTCCAGAGAGGGGCAGTGGGTGTGTGACACGTTCAGCCACCAGACCTCATGTGTCCAAGCTCTATGTCTCAGTCAAGACGGGCATCTTCTGGTACCACTTCAGATCAGCAAGCAAGATCAACTTCTCACACACACACACACAGAAAAAAGAAATTGAAAAGCTTGTCTTTTGTGTTTTCCTCTAACTACATTAATTACTGTAAGCTATAAGATAGGGTATGCAAATGAAAAAAAGCATGGTCCTTTTAATTCGGGTTCTTTTTATACTAAAAAAAATCACTATGCTTAAGAACAGGCTGAGATCTCTCTTCCCATTATTATTTAATAATCACAGTCTGATAACTAAGATAAAATTTATGTTGCATTGTGGCAGGCAAATGTCTGTGTAGACCTAAAAGAAAGCATGCCCTGCCCAGGCTATGTTTCTGATCTGGGGGTGGGGGTGGGAGTGCCAGGGTGAGTGAGGATATAACAATCTTTAATGAAATATGTTGTTTATCTGCACTTAATCCTCTGCTAAAACAGAATTTGTTTCTGTGTGTAAAAACCTGGTACATCTACTACATCACTTCAGCAGAGAGCAGTGTCACAAAAAACCATGCCAAAGGGTGGCACCATTTAAAAATATTATCTTTACAACATTAAATTTCTCACTAGTATGAGTCTCTTGAGGAAGGTGCCAAACAATCACTGTTACATGATCAGGAGTTCCTATGTAGAGTACAAAATCATCATATCACAACTACGTCCCTACAAGAAAAAGCTATGTCTGAGCAGGCTGGTGGCCCCCCATGTTTAGCTGAAATATCCATTATTCACTTATTTGCTTTACTCTGTGTGAACACAAACAATGTAATTGAAACAATGTGTCACAGGACTAGGTTACCATATAGTTCTTTAAAATAAAGAACTCAGTAAAAGAGTATTAAAAATGACTGTATATATAGAATATTGCTAAAGCCCCCAGAGTAGGCAAATTCCTAACCTACTTTATGGAATTTTGCTCAGATGAAGATATAAAATCACAAACAGCAACAATATTTCAGCCATAACTAAAACATAGGATAAAAAAAATCACTTTCAGCTATTGACTTAATTAAATGTCACTGTGTGCAGATAGAGTCTCAGCCTATTTACAAAAAGTGCAGCTAAGCTGCCTTCTTTTATCTACACATACAGGTTTTCAGATGCTGTCTCTGACCTAGTATGTGTTTCCCAGAACATAAATAAGAAAACAGTAATTTGCTGGTTGTCTAACTTTTTTCTTCCTTCTGTCAAGTATACCATTCTCTTTTCCTCTTTCCTGATAAATTTCCTCCCATTCCTCACCTTCACTC